CCTATAGCAAGAAGCATTTGCAAGAATTGGGAAATGAGAAAGAAAACCACGCATGACTCTTTCAATTTTACAAGCGCTTTACCTTTTAGTCACCATCCTTGACACAGCGCCTGACGTAGCAGACAAAGCCTGTTTCTCAGCAGCTTCAGCTGCATCGATAATCTTGTCTGTGGTTTTATGGACAATTAAAGTACCACTAATTAATCTATTCTAAAAAACAGAAACTGAAAAAAAAAAGTCCAAATTTAAAGATTTCGTAGAATGCATAAAAGGGCATCCAAATTTAAAGTTTTCACTTACTGACAGCATCAAGGGAAGCCAAGACTACCTCCCCTGGTAGCATGGTGAAGAATGCCCTTCCAGCTTGTGATCGAACAACTGGTGCCATCACTGACCCAGTGGCAATACCAACCCCATCAAGCATTGTTTTGCTCATCTTTTCTGTCATCTTGGACAACTTTCTCACACTTTAAATAAAAAGATTTTTTTTTTTGTGAGGTTAGTTAATACTTTCGACTTGCCAAAATAAAGTGACAACTTTCTGCCACTAATGAAATGGTAAAATCCAGTTAATACTTGCGACGTTCTGAAATAAAAGTGCTCTCTGGAATAATAAGCTAATGCAGGTATTGAAATTACATAATACCGTTTCAGGCTTTTATTCACAGCATTCTTCTTTTGGGAATCACTATTATTGCTCCTTTTACTGGAAGTTGCCGAAACACTATTTCCCTCTGCTACCAAAATTGTTTCCCCTCCTTTATGAACCTGCTTGTTGCAAGCAAATTCCGTATTCAGAATGCAATCTTGCAAGATTTCAGGCTAATGGAAATGAGAACTAGTAAAACTGTGAAAGGAAAATTACAAGCGTCGTGACCAGACAGCAAAGCTTTCTAGAAGCTGAGTAAGAAAGAACACCTTTCATTTATTTGCTCAAATGAAAATTTGGTTTTGTAAAAATGCCTTTTGACCAGGAAAAAGCTAAGCTTATGGAAGCAGTAATTTCAGGTTAGGAGGGAGCAACTTTTATTTTGTTATGTTGTTTAACTTACTAAGACTGACCTGGTTGGCATAAGCATTGCTACATTTGAAGATTCCCTTGACAATCTGGCCTGTACCTCCCGCGATAGCCTTTGCCAAGACATGGTTATAGTTATCAATTCTCGGTGCAAACTCCTTCCAATTGACGTTCTTATTTTTAGTCGCCGATGCTGATGCTGTCAATAATGCATGCTCACTGAGGAACGAGTCCAGCAATCCCAAATTCCCGCTGTTCAGTCCTGAAAATGTTATGCCATAACTCAAAGGATCACCATCTTTCATTGGTAAAGAAAACAGATAGTGAAGAGCATCAAGCTTCACCACAGGTTCATCTTTTGTCAAAGGCCACTGAAGTTCATCACCAATCTTTATGACAGTAGCAAGAGAAACATTATCATCTGATATACGAACAAGCTCGAAATCTCCGCTGGCGAGCTCAACGGTTTCTCCTGCATCCATCAGATGAGCTTTGCATCCTGGAATGCTCAATAGAACTTCATGTCTTACATTTTTGCTTTCTGGGATTTCTTGCTTTGGTAACTGATCAGCCGATGCTGGAGTCATAGTCGGGGAACTTTTTGATCTCTTGGGCCTAAAGCAGTTCATTTTCCTCTTCCTGTAGTGAAAATGAGAACAATCATAGAGAAAGGAAAGAAATGATAGTGGGAGGAGATTATAAAGATAAAAAGTAGATGGTTAACAGAGAAGGTTGTGCTGCGATTGATTCCATGATATAGTAGCTTTATTCCAATCTTCAAAAGCAAGGTCATGTCAAGGTATTATTCTTCCTTTCGTTCCTGATTTCTTTGACTTCTTGCAAAAGGTCATTTTTTTTTACTTTCGGCGGAAGACATTTATGGGCTCGAGTCTCAACTTTGTTGAACAGTCGGCCATACCTGGTCAGGCTGCTGAAAATAGTCCAATGTCAGTCTGGAGATTTTCTATCCATTTTCCATCCGAATTGTTTTGTTTGCGATTCGAGTCTACTCAATAATCAAGGCTAACCTGGTTGATCCATCGGTCAAAAGTCTCAGTTAAAAACATTTAGGACTCTTAGGTGGCGTTTGGTAAAAAGGTTTCGGAATGGGGAATTGGAATAAACCCCGTGATTCATGTTTGGTTCACTACTATCGGAATTGAAATTTTGGAATGATAGCTAAAAATTTAGCATTCCACCATTCCTTAGTAAGTTGGTGGGTTTTGTCCAAAACCCAAGCGTGATTCCAAAATCTTATAATTACATAATATTTAGTATAATTAATATTTATATTACAATATATATAATATTTTATAATTATATATTTTATTATAATATTAGTATATTATATAAATATATATTATAATTATTTAGTTAAATATAATTATTATTATATAAATATATATTATAATTATTTAGTTAAATATAATTATAATTATATAATATATTATATAAATTTATTAATATTATATTATAATATATTTATAATATATATGTATATTTATAAATGTATATAATATGTGCATATAATTATAATATATACATGTATATAATATAAATAAATTATATAATTATATTTATATTTATTATTTTAAATATAATAATATATAATAATAACTATATTTAATATTAATATGCATTATATTTATATAAAATATTAGTACAATTAATATTTATATATTATATAATTATAATTATATATTTATATTATAACATTTGTATAATTATAATTAATTATATATAATCTTTAATTTAATTAGTTACAAACTTATAATAATGATATTATTATATTATTATATTATATATTATAATTATTTAGTTAAATATAATTATATTTATATAATATATATTATAAATTTATTAATATTATATAATAATATATTTATAATATATATGTATATTTATAAATATATATTATATGTGCATATAATTATAATATATACATGTATATAATATTAATAAGTTATATAATTATAATTATAATTATTATTTTAAATATAATAATATATAATAATAACTATATTTAATACGTAATATATATTATATTTATATAAAATATCAGTATAATTAATATTTGTATATATTATATAATTATAATTATATATTTATATCATAACATTTGTATATTTATATTTAATTTTATATATAATATTTAATTTAATTAGTTACAAACTTATAATAATATTATTATTAATTATATGTATTATATAATGTATATTAATTTATGTAATAAAATTGATATTATCAATTATACTAATAATTATACATGTTTACTAATAGAAATTATTAATTAGTTATACTAAATTTACTAATACTTTTATACTAATATATTTAATTAGTGAAAATTTCTTATATCCCATTTACAAAGAGCCAATGACTATCATTTACGATGTGGTTTATAATATATTTATTATATTCCATTCCGAAAGAGCCGACGAACCAAACATCAACTATAGTAATGATACACATTCTAGGTACTTGAACCAAACAAATGTATTGGAATGAATGACCTCATTCCAAACCCAAGATATCCGATTCCGAATTCGAATCCGACTCCGATGTGCGAACCAAACGCCACCTTAGAAAATCCGATCATTATCCTTTTTATGAAGATGGGATTCTGGCTACCCCTTTAAGTTTTAACGCACGATGCTGTATCATCTTCATCTCATTTTTTAACATTTTTTTTTCAACAATGGGATTATGCTCTTCTGGGTAGGACTATTAAGCCCAAATGAAACATGGTCTAATTTAGTGTTGGCTCACCGGGAGAATTTTTTCAACAATGAAAACCCAAAAAAGCATACATATCGCAAACGAAAGTTCTGAATTGAATTAGTAATGATAAAATGTCAAACGTTTGATTTTTTTTTTTTTTTTCTGTAGGAGTTCCGAGTTAGTTTTCTTTTGTAGTTTTTATCTTATCATCTCTAGAGTTGATACTTTTCCTCAATAATTTCTTGACCTAAAAAGTAAACTAATTTTTCGGTACAGTGATTATTGCACCACGCCTCCATAAGTTGACGCGGGACTTCTTTTTTTTTTTTTTTTTAAGTTTACAATGCCAATAGGTCTAAAAACAAGAAGAAATTGAAGTATTGATAACCACTCTAGGGTGTCTAATTCAAATTTAACAGTTACTTTCGCAGTAGAAATCATTAACGAATAACGATATCGAGTTATAAAAACTGTATAATACTAACAAGATATATTAAATAAATGGGATAGTTGCAGAAATCTCCCTAGGTTTCTGACACTTGCACTGACCTTCCCTATGGTTTGAAAAATTGCAGTGACCTCCCTGAACTTACTAATCCTTTGCAAATTCAGTCCAAATGATTAAAATATTGTTTTAGGGAGTGAAATTATAATTTTGTACCAGATTTGTCCTTTGTGCTACATGTCTAATGAATAACAAAGTACTACAAATCAATTAACGATTAATAAACTTTAAAGGGTGTAGTTTAACATACAAATCTTTGTACAAATCAATTAACAATTAATTTATTGTAGATTTGTATTTACACTTTAAAGTTTATTAATTGTTAATTGATTTGTAGTACTTTGTCATTAATTGGACATGTAGCACAAGGGCAAATCTGGTACAAAATTCTAATTTCACTTCCTAAAATAATATTTTAATCATTTGGACTGAATTTGCAAAGAATTAGTAAGTTCAGGGGAGGTAAGTGCAATTTTTCAAACCATAGGGGAGGTTAGTGCAAGTGTTAGAAACCTCAGGGGAGGTTTCTGCAATTATCCCTAAATAAATTGTACGATAGTGACAAGATACAATAAATAAATAAAACTCTACTTTTCTTTTTAATAATTAATTGATTGACGTTACACAAACATTCCATACGAATTTAATTGAAATTGAAACCCAAGTCTTGACTTGAAAGTTGAAACCTATTTACCAAACACCTCTAATTAGTTATTAATTAAAAAAGAAAAGAAAGAAATGCCAGCCCGCTGTCCACAACTCCAACTCCTGAATCTCGACCCGTGTGCTACCCTCTTTCAACCCCAAACCCGCACGTGACTGTCTGGAACGCGGGCGCACCGCGCAGTACCAGCAGCCTTTTTCTTCCACTGAACTCTCTCAACTTGCAACTGGGCCTCGGCCATTACTCGCCGGCAACTCTACTGCGGAAAACTCGCCGGAAAATCAACTAACCGATTAAAATACTCCACCCAACTGCAATACAGGTCAGCCCCCTCTTGACGTTCCTTTTATTAGTTTTTCACACTTTCTCAGTCATTCACCCAAGCTGTGTAGCTATCTAATTGCACTCCATTGAAATGGTTTCTCATATCTGTTATGCTGCTTTATCTCTGGATTATATTAATGTCTAATTATTTCATCACTTAGAATTCTGTGCTCTATCTCGAACTTTTTCGCTCTACTTGGAGGCTTCATATTGAGCTATAGAAGTTGGGGAATGGATATTGCGGTAATAACTTTGGTTTTGAGCTTCTTATTGGGTTTGTTGCTTGTCATCCCTCGGCTGCGAAAATGTGGTGGTACTTATTTGTCCCATGTGTTTATTATGTTTTGTGATTTGAATCTGGTGATGGAATAGAGTAAACGCGAATTTAATCTCTTGTCCATTCATGGTTGGAATCTGTACAATGCAGATCAAGGGAAACAGGTACATTCAAATGCCAATTCCAAGGTACTATCGAGACTCTATCTGGTTGATTAATTTCTTGCCTCAGCTCTTCTGCTTGATTTGAGTTGCTTGTTTGTTTTGTGTAGAATAAAGCATAGAATCGTATTGGTTTTTTGCGTAGCTTTGCTGTCAAGAGAAAATATTGCTAGGGTATTCTTCAGTCATTGTTTAAGTTGGACAAAGGGCAAGATAAAAGTGTAGTAGTTGATGCAAATTAACTGGAGGTGTGAGCATGTTAAGTGTCGCTCCAACGAAATCAAGGCATTGCTGCTTATTCCGTTGACCAGAATCCTTTCAGATTGACAAATACAAATATTACACGTTCATATCAGGATGACCTTATCAAAGTTTCTTGTTTGAAACCTCGACACACTGAATGTTGCTAGAGGATGTAATGTATGAGTGACTCTACAAATTACATCTATACGGGACAACAGTTCACTTTAAAAGTACCACAGTCTGTGCTTAATTTAGCATGCTTTTCCACCTTGCTTTGGGAAGCATTATCTGAAGGGAGCTGATAACCGAGTCATCTACCTTAGGTGGATTGCTTGTAGTGTTCCATTATTATGTTCCTTGTCCATTTCTTACTCTCTTATTGACTTTTTGTTTCTTCTATCCATTGCTTCTATTCAGGCTTATAAGACATACTCTAAAGCTGAAGTTTCATTGCATAACAAGCGGGCAGACTGTTGGATCATCATTAAAGATAAGGTTCACTTCAGATTATCATAACAGCTCCTGGAAGTAGAGAATTCTGCCTTATGCAGAAGAGATTAATAAGACAGCTGATCTCTGATTAAACCTTTGCATTTTCTGGTTTGATAGGTTTATGATGTTACCTCGTATGTAGAAGAACACCCCGGTGGTGATGCCATCCTCGCACATGCAGGTGATGACTCAACGGAAGGCTTCTATGGGTAAGTCTTTGAGTATGGAAAACGTTTCCTTTGTCATAATCAACCTTGAAAAGTGAAAACATAATTGCCTGCACCACGACTGCAGAAAATGGGAGAATCAACATTGCCTATTCTCCCTCGTTTTTTGTCTATAAAGAATTAAATTCAGTAAAAGTGTTCTTTGTGTGAATTCATTTGGTCCATAATTGTTTTTCACTTCCTTGGCTTATTGCCCTTTATCTCTTTTGGTTAGTTGCTGATTTGCTTCTGTGATCTTACCTTGTTTCTGAAATTTGTGCAATACTTGTTGCTTTACTTCTCCGGCTTTAGAGCTCAAACAAACTACAATATTGTCTTGGCAGGCCACAGCATGCTACCCGAGTATTCGACATGATGGAAGACTTTTACATTGGAGATCTGCAAAACTAACATTTGTCTAACGATAAACAAGTAATCCTAGGCTTATCTGCCCATATGAGGCATTTTCTGGTTGTGATAATCTTCTTGCTTTCATTATGTTGTGCCTTCGCATTGTTTCCCATTTTTCTGCTGCTGCTATCCAACTAATGCCTTTCAAGATCATTTTAAGCATGACTGGATCTGTATTAATAATTTCTCAATAATCAAGATTCAAAAAGTAATGCCGTAGCTTCAGACGGTGAACAGATACTTGACACTACAGCGGCTTCTAAGTTCTGATTACTGAATTTGGAGCTCTAGAATTACAGTATACCAATTGGAAAGAGAATAAAGTCAAAAGGAACAGATTGCAGAAATTGAACCCAATGTTCAGACGAACAATCTTCCGGAGAAGTAATTATGTTTTTAAATGTTTTTGGCTTCTGCTATAGATCTCAACAGTTATTGCAAATTGAAAGTGCATGATGCAGGGACTACTAAGGAGGTTCATTAACATCCATAAAGTTTCACATTGTCTACCGAGTGGCAACAGTGAATCTGGGATTCTTGGGTGAAGATCAGCAACGAAAAAGGAGAAAAAGGAGCACAAAGAATAAAAGTTCTAATAACTTTTCTTGCATGAATGGGGAAATATTCTCATTAAATTACAGCAACGATCAATACAATTACAAAAAATGGGCCAACTTGGCCCCCCAAGAATCAATCGATTTAATAAATCAATATAGACAACCAACCAAAAAACTACCGCTTAATCTATACTCGTTGATCTCGTCCATAATCAGGCGAAAAATGATGATCCCCAATGTCCACTGTGGGCTATCAGAACCGGGAACAAAGAATTACTTCTAGTTGCTAAAGGCTCTTCCTATACATCATACTTCTTGGGCTGGCGCCACTGTGCCAGATTTCTGGACAAAGAATAAAGAAGAGAAGCAGTGGGCTGAATACCTTTCTTCCCATACAAACGCTTTCCTCCCAAATCCGTAAATTTTGGACCCTTTCCCTTGGGTCTGTCAATCTGTACAATAGGCAAAGAGGTGGAGAGAGGGAAGGGGAAAGCCATACATTATATTCTGCATATTCGAAGGTAATATAGCTAACAAAAGTGATATGCCCTTAGGGGCAAGCAATGATACGAAATGAAGCCAAACAATGTTACAATATCAGAATTTAGAAAAGAATTTGTCCGTGTAAGCAGAATGCGGTCGGGGAAGATGTTCACAACACTTTCACCAAAAAAAAAAAAAAAAAAAGGTTCTGCAGGACTGGAAATTAAACTCAGGATGAAGTAATCACTCCCAGAATCTAGCTCCAACATAAGGAAATTGAATAAGTATCGCAGAATGCTACCTCAATCCAGTCATAGCCGGAAATGAACGCTACTTACCAGAAAAGAATAAGCAAAACGCAATATAAATTTATCAAATCACTAGCGCAGTTTTGAAATGCATAAAAAGTAATGCAAATGCATGCACAGGCATGCAAACATTCATATATATATATATATGTGTGTGTGTGTGTGTGTGTGTATATATATATTTATTTATGTATGTGTGTGTGTGTGTTTAAATTCTTGTACTTGTAACAGCAAATATAGTTTCAATAAATTAAATGAAACAAATTGTTAATGGGGAAAACTGTATGACAGAGTGTCCACCTCTTAATTTCTCCAACAGAAATTGTTTCTATAGATTCTGTTTCACTCTGTCTTATCAACCACGATGACATACTTTAAAATATTTTCAAATAAATTTTCCATTCCAGATAAGAGCAATATTTTAACAAAATACAATCTGAGAGCACGATGATACTTATTAAGACACACCTTGCTTATCTTCCCATTCTTCAAATGATATCGGATGCCAGACCAGTTGATAGACTGACAAAAATGTGATCTCACTGCTGAAATCGGATAGAGAAAATTATCCACCAGCAGAGCACAAAATACCTGATCGCCAAACGTCAAATGAACAAGGTAAGGGGCTAATTTGTGATCTTATGGTCACAAAACTTTTCAGGAAGTGTCCTCACTCATGAGTTTTGACCAGCTCCATTATGATAAAAATAAAAAAAAAAGACTCTTGGTGTATTTCCAACCCTAAGATCACTTGGTACTTAAATTGATTCACCATTTATAAAAAGTTCTTTGCTTAAGAATAAAACAAAGATCAAGTTTGTAATGTTGTTTATACTTTTTTTTCCCTTTTTATACCAACTTCTATAGCAATCTTAGGATGAATTATGAATTGCACTCTAAATGCCAAGGGTTAGACAATCAATGAAGAGGATGCATCACGAGTTTGTTGAGCTAAACTTACAAGAAACCAGTTGTACGTAGCAAGAGACAGCTGAGGTGCCTCAGGAGACAAGAAGTTGCATAGGTGAACTTCAATCCTGGTCAAGTTCCACATGGAAAGGAGTTCCAGAGTTGTGCATATGGTAAGGCAGCTAGCAAGTAGCAACCCTGGACAAAACAAGCACTGCCTTTAAGGATGCCATAGACAGAGTAGAAGTTCAAAAAGTAAGTGGACAGTGCTTAGTTTAAGTAACAACTTTTGGCATTACTCTCAGTTTTTCCAGATTGAATTCTTATCTTCAGAAACATCAAAATATCCAATAAGAGGAATCACTGATAATCAGCCCTGATGGTTAAAGTGAATTAAATTGCTCACCTGTAGATGTAAAGGCTGCATCTTCAGATGAATAACCTTTGTAATAACATCTTAAAGCTGCTGCAACATGAATCCCAGCCATAAAATATGGTGCTACAAAGCCCCAAGAGAGATAGCAGTGGGAAGAAAATAATGCACGATTCATTATCCAGTTAACCTTTGTTGTGTATGACTCCAAAACAAAAGTTTGTTTCCTCAGATAATTCCAGTACCTTCAAACATTAAAAAATCCTTGAGTTTACTTAAAATGTTCAAGAAAAGTTCCAACCATATCTACCAACCTTGAAAAGCTAAGGTCACTAGCAAGAGGATGAGGAAACACAGCAACTGGTGGTGATGTGATGAGCCTCTTATGAGCTCCTGAAACAAAACGGACCACAGTTAGAAGGAAAACCTAGATATCCAAGACAAGTACTAAAGCTAACTTTATTACAGCATTCAGCTAAGGTCCACATTCTGTAAATTCTAGAATAGCTAATTCCCTGTATAGTTTAGAAGCAAAAGTTTCAAGGTTCTGTAAGTACAAATTCAGGTATGAACAAGCACATTGGTTTCTGTAATTTATGGAAGATCATGAATTGATAAAGGGATCTATTAACAACCGCAAAGTAAGAGTCAGGAAATTAGACGAGCAGGGCAGCATGTAATGACAAGAATGCAGATATCAAATGCCCAAAAACATTTAAATTCTTCAAGAACTATGGAACAAGAAAATTTCATTTGCATCAACACTTCATGAAATTTCATAGAGTTAGCATGCCCGGCTTTAAGTACATATAATCCCTAGAAGTGGAAAATCCAGATATATATACAACTACCAGCCACACAATCAGTGATACAGTTTAACCACTATAAAAGAAATTACCAGCTATAGCAGCAAGAGTCATGTCATCTGAGTAGCCCCCATCTAGAAGCTCCGAAACAACACCATGCTTATTGGTTCTAAAGTCATCTGCATGCATCTGAAATAAAGAAGGAAATTGAAAACTCAACTTATTAGAAGAAAAATTAAATTCCAGATGTGCGTATCAGAAAGCTGATAGTTGGGGAAAAGGATTACCATCATGCATCCTCCCCACAAAAAGAATGTTCTTCCACCAGTAGCAAATCCCATTGAACAGGGCTTTGGAAAAAGAGAACAAGTTCAGACATTAACAAAGATTATAATAACAAAGAAAACATAAGGTGTATAGCATATAGAAAGCCACTCAAAATCTTAAGCTACCATCAGACATCATTTCCAGAAAAGTACTTGATTACAGGAAGCAAATATAAGGATGTATGGACTTTTCAAGTACGGGTGCAAAGAACTCTTTTCAATTTACAGTTACCATAAGTTGCAACTCCATGAAAAGTGTTTCACTTTTCAAATTTGGAAACCTTTCCAATTGATAATGATCAAAGAGCAATAGTATGAAAATGTTGTAGAACAATCCCACTAGTACCATGGCCATTCACTAAGAAAGCAAACACTAAAATAATGAGCCCCAATAACCCGAAACCTTTCCCACGAAAGACTAGCATAGGAAATGCTACACTAATATAGAATGCAGGGATGTAAAGATCTTTCTCTGCTTTGGTAAATTTAAAAAATTCTATCGTATGTTGTCCTCACAAGACCAGCCTAGGAGTCATATAATTGTCCCCCGCACTGCAGTACCCAATATTTAAGACTCCCTTGCGGAATTAGAATTCCCTTTACACTTTCCCAGTGTGCTACCCTTTTCTACCCTCTGCGTTCTAAAGTAGACATTATAGTGAGTAGAGCTTAGGATGGAACTACTGATATCATTTGGAGGCTCCACCCTTAAAGAGCCCAGCAGACAAAAATAAAAGCATGAAAAGACACCATACCATGTGATATTCATAGATGCAGTAACTTCCCAAACTTCCAGATGGCAAATCGAGTGGATATCCAGTTTGAATAAAAATCTGAAGAATAAAACAGGTAGAGTCATGATACAAGTAAAAACATATTAATAAACAGGAATAACATCAACACTAATCAATGGAAAAATTTATGGAGATCGCTTAACCTCAGGGTTCTTTTCCATTTCTACAGTAAGTGCACCAATAGATCCAGGATGTAACCTAACATCATCATCTAAAAATAGTACATATTTACTGTCTTTATGCATTTTCTCCACACCAACCTGCAAAGCACCAAGCTTTAAATGAAACCACAAACCAATAGAATGTATTTATCATAGATGGTATAACCACCAATTACATAATTCAGCAGTAAAAAAGGCCTGTATCCAGCCTTTGCATGGACCTTAAATCATGTTAATTTTCCTTTTTTGAAGTTTTTTTTTTCCTAATTTACATTTAAAAATTATCCAATCAAAAGGTCAATCATGCTAACATTAGAAAATAGTGTTTAATCAGACTTCAAAAAGAAATCTGGCACCATAGTTTTTTTTTTTTATAAAGAACTAATGATTCCACATTTAATGTATAACTGTGCCCTGTCAAAAGAATGAAGAACATAAGATTAAAAATCTAAAAACATACCAATTGATTGTGAATTTTCTGACTGCAGGTTGTCGACAAACCAGCAACAATAATCTTTGCCTCAAGATCATCCTGGGAATCATTTAGTGAAGCAGGACAAAGAAAGGACAAGCAAGAAGGAAGATAAGAACGCAGACTTGCATGATAAGGGCATGTATCAATGGCTGATATGCATGACACCATACTTCATGTAAAGAGTACAACCTTTCAGGTAATAACTTTCTTAATTTTCAACCAAGTAGGGTACAAACCCATGCATACAGAACCAAAAATAGTATATGCAAATTGAGATATGAGCAACATAGCAACCACAAACAAAAGCTCAACCAGAAATGTTTATCCTAGAAACACACACACACAGATGAAGTCTATGTATTATGATTTTCATTTTCTTTTATTCCTTTGTTTACTTAATGTTCCAGATAGTATCTTGCGGCCATATAGGACATCTTTGAAGCTGCTTCCAGGCACTAAATGAAAAAAGATTTATTCCCATTAAAGACATTCAGAAAACAAATCAGGAAAATAAAAAACAACGAGAAGTAAGAGGGGTCAAGACATACAACTCAAAGCAACAAGAATACAGTACCATGTTATAGATGCCCTGGACATGTGATAGTTGATTGCAATGACTGAACTAAACAGAAACCAATTTGTACCTTGTAATCAGCCAAAAGTCGAGACACAGCATGGTAAGCTGGGTCTTCTGTACTTTCAACAACAAAAAGAAACTCCAGTGGGCCACCATAAAGAGATGTAATCTGCATTGTTGTCAAGGGGATATATTTGATCAGGCCAAGAAACTCTCGCACTTTCTAACTCTTTAAAGGAAAACATTTGCTGCAAAAGTTCAAAATTTAAACCAAAATTAACAAGAACTACTAGCTGCCACATGATCTTTTTCTTTTTCACCTGAGATCTCCAATTGTGTAGATTATGCTCTCCAAAGCCCTTCAAAGGCATGATAACTGACACTCGAGGCAAATGGATCTGATTTGAATGCTCGAGCTCATTAATATCACTACAGAGAAATGCAAAACTGTTGCCAGTTCTCATTCTCTCAGCCATCCGTCTTATTTCTCTGCTTCTATAGTAGAAAAGGAAATGTCATAGAAATATGTTAAGATTGAAGTGAACTTTTATAAGCCAGAGTAGAGGAAATGGATCATAAACTGTAACTAATTTAGTACAAGATCCCATTCCCCATTATTGTACCTGACATAAGCAGCACCAGACCATCCAAGAGCAAGAATTAAGCAGATAAAATATCCCTGCAGCATGAATACAAGCCTCACAATGTCATATATAATACAATTCATAAAAGAAATAACAGTTTGAGAGCATTCCCTAGATAAAAAACAACAAAAGAAGGTGAAACATAAATTGTAAGAAAAAAAAGTCATCAAGCACTCTTCAATCCAATATTTCTACTGTCAAGAATCTCACAAAATGCAAACGAAAAACATTTTAAACCCCTGAAGATCTCTGCTTCTTCTTCTTTTTTTTTATCAGTCAGAAAGGCACTTCAAGAGTTAAAAACAATAAGACTGTTAATAAGACTGTTAAACCCCATCATAAGCCTTCAGAAAGAAAAAAGGAAGGGAATCATACAAATAGACACCCAAAAAAAAAAAAACAAGTGTGATTTTGAGAATTTTATCTTATTTATATCTTTTCCAAGTTAAGTCAGTACCATTGGCTCAGTTTGTAAACTTGAAATCTACTCTAGCTAAAGATGTTCCAAGCAATAATATTCTTAATTTGTACTTTTGATGAAAGACGGATCATGATTAGAAGTTGTCAAGATCATTTTCTCTTCATCCTTCCAATTTCCATACAATAATAGAAAAAAAAAAAACCTAATGTAAGTTCTGTAACCACAATTGCAATTATTAAGAGACAAAATGGAAGACTAAAAATTTTCCTTCACATTTTCTGTTTGTTTCTGCTTCAAAAGCTCCATGTCCAAACTCCAAATGGGGCCATAGTATCCTCTCTCTCTCTCTGTAGTTCTTAACAGCACTCTCTTCCCTAATCTTCTGCAGAGGAATGAAATCTCTCTTCACAGAAACTAAAAGGAACTGTCTGCTTACCTCCCAAGCATGATTTCAAAAAGAACATGTTCCCTGATATAGGTTGAAGCAAGTTGATTATAATCTATATTAGGGCAAAAAGCTGTTTTTAGGTGTTGCCCTTAAGCTGCAAAAAGCTGATTCTACTGAGCAGCCACCTGTCCTGCTTTTCTAAACTGCTTTTGGCTGCCCAAATCTTCAAAGTAAACGCACTTGCACTTTTTAAATAGATTTCAACGAGTACATTTACTTAGTCAGCTTCAGAAAAGCTTAAACCAAGGAGAAAAGGCCCTAACTGATAACACAATCTGTAAATTATCTTTTGTTCCCCCTCTTTTCTCCAGGAGTAAAATTCACCACCTCTAGAATTTTAGAGCTGCATCATCTGCATAAAATTGGCTCACATGTTGTGGATTCAACCCGGAAGAAAATCCTAAATTCAGAGATATAGGTATTCATCATTCTTCACGATAGAGAAACAATAAATGCTACAGCGGCCTTTAATGAAATCAAGCTCCCCAGATCCATCCAACACTCACCACAAAAGCTCTCCATACATTTGGTCTAGGCCAACAGAAAGAAATGGGAAAACGAAATCCAAACTCCACCAAAAAACAAAAGAACATTAACAAATTTCCCACTCAACAATCATGAAAAAGATTTGTGGTAGTATAGTCTTCTGAGCGTCTGATATCCGACAAAATCCAAATCCATTCCTCAGATCTAGGCCTTAAACAATGCAAAACAAAATCAAATCCACACAGCATTTACCGCCTTTTCTATAACATTTTGCTCAATTCTCCTAAAAAAACAGAAAACAGAGCAGTGAAAGAAGCATATATGTACCTGGATCTGAATAAAAATGGCGAGCGGACTACAGCAAGCTTTGCTTGCACCTAACAAGATAGCGTCCAATGTATCCATTACCGGGGAAGATATTTTTCTCAACAATGCACGTCGTCTCTTCGTCTCGTTGTTTTTTTGTCAGTTATCTTGTCTATTCTACTTTTATCCAGCAGCTCGGCAACGGCAGGCAGGGCAAGAAACAATGCCCTGGGAACTTAACCTTCCACAAACATATAATTTATCTTTTTCCTGTCGTCTTCCCTCTCAAATCACCATGAAATGGTGTACGAACGACAGAGGGACAGAGACGACGAGAGGGAAGAAAAAGACGAGAAACGAAAGAGCAGCAGAGGAGAGGAAAAAGGAACCAAATGTGAGAAACCGCGTAATTTTATATTTTCGAAGGTGAGTGTGTGCAATTTGTGGGCGTGGGCGAGTGTGTGCGTGGGAGAGCGTGTGCGGGGTATTTGGAGAAATAATTGGAGAGAGACCGTTGGCTGAGTTGGTTAACTTATATAGGGGCAGTATGAGGAAGGGAGAGCCTCCAGGCGTTTGAGAAGTGGGCGTGGGGGGTGGGAATCGAGTTCCAATGGATGGCTTTTTTTTTTTTCTTTAGGAAGATGCTACTTTGTGATTGGGATCTTGGCGACCCACCAGGCCCTTTGTTTAATCCTAATTTCGGAGTATTATCCTTTGGACTACAAGCCTCGTATTTCTATATTCTGATTAGCATTGAGCTCTACTATTTAAAATTGTTTCAAACATTCACTGAAAGCATCAATTTATATCAAAGGCATGCCACGAGTACATCATACTTGCCTTTGGTTAGTTAGCCATCGAGAAGATATTTAAGTAAGCTAGTTAATCGGTCCATATGAGTCAGATTTTAACAAGTTCAAACTCGATTCATATAATTAATATCACTTTTGATTTTCGAGTTATGAGATTTGAGTTGATAAATGTGAAACTTGTGACAGCCCCACCTCCCCCTAAGGCGAACCAGAGGGTTCGGCGGGCCGCCTGCCCAACTCTCGCCGGGACTCAGTCGTTCATTACAATTCTCAAATGAATTACAATATAAATATCAAATATTACATCAAATTCTCCAATAATTACATGTCAAAAGCAAAGCGGAAATAATTCCCAACTATACATAAAATGATTCCAAATCCAAACTGTACAAGATATAGGCCATCCAGACATGTGAATAAGCGCAACAAGACCTTCCTTCGCTTTGAGCCCTGTGGAGGGGAATAAAATATTTTTGGGGTGAGTTAGAAGCTCAGCGAGTAACCAGTAAAATCCTTAAACAAATATATTTCACAATGTTGCATTTCGATCATTTCGATGATGTCATGATTCAGAGATCAAATGTTCGTTTAGTGCTCTCGTGAGTCAGGGAAATCATAGCACTTGAACACCCAACGCTCAAATAGATCATTTAACATTAACATTAACATTAAGAGAGAGCCCCTTCTTGAGCTCCAGATAAACATGAACATGAACCATAAACAGAGTGGAGACGTTGGTGTCCAGCACAAGACTTTTCCAGAACTCATTGAAACCAAATCATGTCATGAACTCACATGCAAGCACGCATGATATGCAATCGAGTACATAATGCAAGAAACATTTCACAAGTACTTTGGAAATAGTTTAGGGTCACTCACCTCCACGGCTCAGAAATCATCCAGCATATAACATTGCCTTGCCCAAATCCAAGTCTTAGATCACAAACTCAATGCAAACAAATCCCTTCAAAGTTCGGACAGCACTTCCCCTGAATTTGTTAACTTTTCCAGCCATCATGGCTTCATTATTTCCTCAGCCAGTCCCAAAGGTACACACACAACAACAAGTTCATCCAATAGCCATTCAGTAAGCTCCAAGTAGTACTAGTACAAGTCAAGCTAGGGAAAAGTCCGGAAATGAAAGTTAAGCTCAAAACCAGAAAAACAGTTTTGACGTCATTTTGCGGTAATGGCACCAAAGGTACTACGATGGTCGGATGAAGGTGCAAGATACACCGTTTCGAAGCTAAGAGATAGGGCTACAATATTACAGAAGGTCACTCAACCCAGTTTCGAGTGTAACCAGGTCAAAAATGCAAGATACTATACCAGAATCACAAAAACAGATTCACAGAACGTATTCTAGCGGAAACATCATAACTCAGGCTCTCCAAGTCCAAATCCAGAAATTCCAAAACCAGCTGAAAGCTAAGAAACAGGGGCTAAATTTCATCAGAAGACCTCAACAACCAATTCGGAAGCAATTCCAGCCAAAACAACCAATTACAGGCGCAATTCTTACATTCGGGTAAAACCAGAACAGCAATAGTAATTTCAACTTTTCTCATTCTACACTACTCCGATTGACCTGAAATTTTGTAGGCACCTCTAAAATATCATTCCCTACAACTTTCATGTTTTAATCCAAGGCCAATTCGGCCTCTAACTAGGAGCTATAAATTCGGGCAGAATGTTCCTTCACAAAACCTAATTTTCTGAAATTTCTTCCAAAACAGAAATTGATTGCAATTGACCACTTTTTCCACCTCATAGAGTCCTTAAACATCATTTCCAATCATCATATATAACCACACAACCATGTTCATATTAAAACAGAAAAATCCCCAAAAATTATAAAACTTCATCAAGTCAACCACAACTCAAGATATAATCCATCAAACCATCTCTTTAGCCATCACAAGTCACTAATTTAGCATAATCAAGAACAAAGAAAGGATTGCTAGACATGAACCTTGAAATATCAAGAAAGTTGATGGCTTAGTCCTTTGCCTTCTCTAATTACTCCACCACTACCTTCAATCTTCCTAAACAAGTGATTTTTGTGGAGGAATTTGAAAGTTTAACGGTTGATTCACAAGATTGAGCAAGAAATGGAGTTGGAGTTGAAGGCTTTCTTCTTGTTTCTCCTCCTCAAAAAATTCGGCCAAGAAGCTTGCAAAATGAAGAGATTTTTGGTCAATTTCAATTAAATGGTAAAGTTATGAATAGTAGTCAAACTCAAGACTAAATCTTATGGTGACACTTGTCACCTTTAGGTTTAAAACTTATCTTTTTGTCTCTCCAATATAAATATCTTAACACCTTGTAAAATAATATCACTTAATACAAATTTTCAACAAGTTGTCAAAAATATAATGCATTTACCGCACTTGCGGGTCCCACGTCCAAAATACGCTCTTAATTTCTCAAAACTAACCAATACTAGAAAAATCATTTTAAAACTATCTTTGCTCATAAACTTTATCTGGGGAATTTTTCTAATAAAGAAAATGTAGAAAAGGCGGGCGATTAAATAAAATAAACCCTAGAAAATTAGAAAATTTCCGAGTTCTCACTCTCATACTTTTCGGGGCGTCACAAAACTCATACTTTACTCACAAAATATTCGAGCTGTGAATCTAATTCCGATTTAATCCAAATTCATCTCTTACTCCATAATTTCCTTATTATAATTATTATAACTATCAAGTTCTGAAACTAATTTAACATCCACAAAACTACAACATTGAAACTATACATGAACTAGTAACAGATCATTTAAACCAAGAATTTTCTAACAACAATATATCCGATTAGTTCAAAGCACGTGAAAAATAGTAATAAAACATGATCAATAGTCAATACAATTGCAAAGGTTCTCAACTTGCTCATACTAAATTTTGTCCTTCAGAATCTTATGACATAATTTTGTATATATAATATTTCTTATATATATATATATTAATATACTTTCACACATAATTCATAAGTATAAAAATATTAGTATTATATATATGCAAATTAAAGGATTGAGATTATATGTGGTTTAAGTCTAATAAGACCCAAACTCAACTCATATTTAATTTGAGCCTAATATTTAGGCCCAAACTCAATCCAATTTAATGAAAGGTTAAATTCATCGAATCTTTTCTCAATCCGCCAAACTCGAGCTAGCTCCTTCAAAATACCACATGATAAATTCAGAGATGCTCCTTCAAGATAAATTCTGAATACACGTACCCACACATTTATTGTAATTCTATATTTAGATACTTTTACAATTAAGCTCTCCATTTTAGCCAAACCCTTTTATAACCATTGAGGTTTAGGTCTCTATTTATCATCAAATATGAAGTGAAAACCGGATAATTTTCTCGAGTGTCCTATGAAGTGATGAACTAAAGAAATGCGAAGAAGGCAAAAAACCTTGAGGAACACATTTAAGTGGTCGTGGTACCGAAGAAGGCTCTGATCATAGTGAAGCATAAAATGAAATTTCTGACTTACATAAGCTGCTCCCTTTTTTCTTTATTCTTTTTTCCTTTTTGTGGTGCCCTGAATTTTGAGTCTACAAAACCCTATTTGCAATCTGCAGAATTATAATCCTCCATCGAGAAGCAACTGACGCAGGCAGAAACAGATGCTACTAACTCACGTGGATACTCGGCAAAGTAGTCGAAACAAATACTAGTACTAATTCATAAGCTGCTGTGGATGCATCAAGAATGTGCATATGCATTGGACGGTTTTCTGAGAAGTGCTTTTGGGGGGGGGGGGGGGGGGGGGGGGGTCCAGTCCATTGTCATTAGGCTGAGGCCCTACGTAGTTCCCATCCAGGACAAGTCTTCCACCCCGTGTACCTGAGATGCTGTTTCCTTACTTGACACTAAAAAACAAAAACAATCAAGTTGTAACTGGTTTTTATTTTTACTTTTCGGAAGCTCGGAGAGATAACAGAATGGTGGATAGAAAAATGTGTAATTTTAGTTCCCAATATTTAGTCCTTCAAATTTTGATAAAAAGTAAATGTTGTATTCAATATTTAGTACATGTGCAATTTTGGTCTCTAATGTTTTGGCAAGAGCAAATCTATACTTCATTTTGTCCAATTTAAAGCAAATTTAGGACATTTGAAGAATTTTTTACAATTAGTGACACGTTCAGTCATGTTTCCATTAAATTGAATTTCAAATAAGAAAGCAAAATCATAGCTAATTTCAAATAACAATGACTAATAACAGACGTATTGACTAATTAACTAGTAAAAAAAAAGAAAATTCTAATCTAAAAAACTAAAACTAATTGGAACACCCAATTCATCGATCCACACTATGTTTTCACTCTCTATCCCAATTGACCCCAAGCTAAAATTTGTAATAGTTAATTTTTTCGATAGATTAACATTTTCTTGACTGATTAGTTGCTAACATGCCATCGCATGAGTTGTTCTTATTGTTCAAGGTTACTCATTATTTTGCTCTTTTTTTTTCAAAAAAAAAAAAAAGAAGCTTAATTCAACAAACATGGATTACACCTGACTAATTCCACCAATATTTGAAAAAAAAAATCGCTAACTGTTTTAAATATGGTTCAAATTTGTAACATTGGGGGACCATATTTGTTATTGACGAAACTTTAAGCACTAAAATTGCACCGTGTACCAAAAATATGGAACTAGATTTGTTTTTGCGGAAACTTTAAAGACAAAAATTGCATAAGTGCCAAATATTGAGGACCAAAACTGCATTTGTCCCATAATAAGAACACCATACAACGAAATTACTCTCAATAGGTGGGCATTATTGAAAATCACGAGTAGTCCGTAGACTAATGAATTAAGTCACTGAACGGCAGGCCTGAACCACGAGCTTTGTTGACAATGGAAAGTTAGATACAATAGCGAGAAGATCCCAAACATATGCCATGTGCAAAACTGCAACTGCATGTGAGAAGAAAAGACTTCCGCCCTCTTTCACTTTCAACCATGGTTGTTGTAATGCATGAGTTTACGTGTGGTATTGATGCAACTCACAGGAGTCTGGTCTATTAGCTAATAAGTGACACCCTGAAGTAGTATAAACTGCAATGAAATGAATCCACTTACAACCTGATCATGTTATGTCACGTTGCAAACAGCTCTGCATGACAACAGAAAAGGATGTAGGCAGACACCAAGAGAATGTTCATCAATATCATCAAAGTTGAAAGGCATTTACGATTCTGTTCATCAATTTTGGTACCACAAGCATAAAATCCAATTTATCTGTAAAGATGTAGCATGACATCCAATTCACCTGTAAAGATGTTATAGCGACAAAACATGCAAGAATAGCATGGAACGTCCATAATTACCCTAAAACATTCCCCGAGTCCCCTCTATCACTCCAAAAGAAGGTCGAAGCAGAATGGAGCTTGGGGCTAAGGGAGCAATACGAACAGGGTGCTACAGAGAAATGTCATAGCTTCTTTCAAGCCTTTCGAAGACGTTTGGGAGTGGGAAAGAGTAGGGCAAATTTCCCAAACCCAAAAGATCCTCAATCGCTATCCGAAGTCCTAAGTTGGCCAAGTGATTATCACACGAATTTCAAGATCTTGTATCATGTTGGTATTATTTCACTATGGCCGCTCTACCTGTACTTTTTTTTTTTTTTGGTCAACTCTACCTGTACTTAAATAACAAATATATGTACTAATGCGATAATGAATTTAACAAGGCAATTCAACCACGGGTTTTAAATGGTCTAACAAATAGTTTAACCAGAAAATGCCATCATTTACGTAATATAAGAACAGTATTGTTATCAAAAGCTAACAAGCTGAGTACTGATTCTTTTTTTTTTTTTAAGCTTTTCCTTGGGTCAGGAGGGCAAAGCTCAATCTACGGATTACAATTAACTATGGCAGGTGTAAAGGTGTAGTAACACCCACACTAAAATCTGATATCAAAGCGCACAGATTCTCAGGTGTACCGATGTGGTTTTTGG